TGGTGGGAACTGCAGCCATCTGATGATTCATCCCATAACACTGGTCCCAGTGGAGTACGTCAGCCGTTGCTAACTGGTAGATAGCACACTCGTTAACGTAACTAGTCGACAACATCTGCTAATTGTTGTACTTCAATCACTAAAGGACAGACATTTAAAGATCTCTGCTCCGTTGCCTGATGCAGCTCCCAAGAGTCACGTCTGACTGCTGCCAATTAAAAACCACAACTGCAGAGATGAGACGTTGAGCTTAAGGAACTGTACGCCCCATCACTCTTTTTTCAAATGTCCTACTTATTCAAATCAACTCTAATAGAAATATGTGCCTAGCAGAAACAAATAATTAATATATATATATATATATATATATATATAGTTGATAATGTAGGTAACAATATAGCTGAAAATATAATTCAATCAAAGTGGTTTACTGTCACACACTCATTGCTCATGGCTCTGATATTTATTGTCCATGTATTGTGTTGCTTGAGCGAACGCAGACAGTCCAATGAGAGGCAGAGTAAACGTGTTCACATCTCCACCCGTTGGTGGCAGAATACGTGTATTTAAACCATAGATTTAATTATATTAAACTGTTTATTTTATTTATCTAGGTTATTACAGATGTATTTAATGCAGTTTTTATGTGATTTGTATGGTTCATTTGCAACCATTGTTGTATACATCTTGTTATATTTATTTCATGTGTTTATTAAGCAATAAGTAATGTCAGTTTATGAATAGAGACGTTTGTTTTCATTAATTCTGGTTTATTTGTCACACTTCCATCCGAAATCGAACGGTTAGGCCCAAAAGGTCAAAGGGCCCTGATGATAGGAAATAATGTTTGTCAAATGCTGTGGTATAAGGAGAATTACTTGTACGTATGGCTTTATGGCATTCAGACATTTTGACTCCACAATATTTTACATTTTTCTCACTAGATAAAGAAATGAATTCATTCTGGTTTCTTCATTGCCTCCATGTTACCTTTCATGTGACCCTCAGAGTGATCTCTGGAGCTGTGGATGGATCCCTCCGTCAGGCTGGAATTGGGTTGGGAACCATTGCAACAGACTAGCTGCTCTTTAGCATGTTGGACACACCAGCATGACACTGTTACAGAAAATGTATTTCCCGCCAAATAACACTGGTCTGCTGAAGCCTATTGAAAACTGACCGTGATCTGAGAGAACAAACATGTCTCTCAATATGTAGATAAGATTTTAGTTCAGTGACACTGGAATCTAATTTAGTAGAAGAAATGAATGTTTGGACAGGTTGTCTCCAGTGACACCTCTTACTTAAAATACAATATTGGTATCCTCTTTAGTTGTACATTATATTAAGCTCCTCTATCATCACCAAAGTCAAAGATCACATTTATCCCTTGGTAAACTTGGATGTACTTGACGAAGCAGCAACCAGGAGTCACATGTTAACTCTGGAGGTGTACAGAATCTGTCCACAGGACTACTACTAACCGTGTACTCGAGAAATATGGCAAGAATAAACCTGCTGTTGAAAGAACCATGACAAATCCTGTTTGGAGTTTTCCACAAGCCATGTGAGACGCACAGCAAACATGGCGGTAGCAAGGAGACCTGCCAGGAGAGTTACAGTAGTCCAGGCGGGAGATGACAAGAGCCTATACAACGATTATAGTGAGCAACTATACCGTCATCAAACTTGATCGTTAGTATGCCAGTATCGGGCTGCTGCACCATGGCAGAGAAGACCTCTGCATCCATCTCAGTTCCTGTTTCAACAAAAACCTTGACACCATTGAATGGCGAAACTAAGAACTTCAAGAAAGCTATGAACAAAACAAAACAAAACAAGATTTCAATCAATAAAAAATGCTCAAGATTAACCAAGGCCATTTGTGTACTCCGTAAATCTGGCCTTGATAGAAGAGTGGCAAGAAAAAAGCCGTTGGGAGTTTTCCACAAGCCATGTGAGAGGCACAGCAAACACGTTGAAGAAGATGCTCTGGTCAGATGAGACCAAAACTGAACTTTTTGGCCTCAATGCCAAACGCTGTGTGTGGTTGACACCCAACACTGAGCACAACATGCCAACAGGGAAATATGGTGTCATGGCATCGTTTCACATTCTATATTTGTCCTGTTTACAAGTAGATGAAAGAGATAAATATAACAAGTGCTGACAATGTCTTCTAGTAACACCAATCAGGCATTTGAGTCCATCTTGAAAAATTGTGGCAATTTATTGACGGCACTGTCCAGCAGTACAATAACATTTGGAAAGCACATTCCATCTCTGCAGCTTCCTGATCATGAGCACTTGTCGGTGCCAAAGTGTGACACTAGTGTTAATGAGTCCACCTCTTGTTGTTACCAATCTGCAGCTACTGATGCATCTGGCTTCGCTGTCCCAGTAACTACTACTACTCTTCCTTAAAATAAGTATTGAATGTTTAACAATTATTTTCTCTTGGAAAAAAAATGTCTCTGTGCAATTGAGAAGCTGCCATAAAATCTGTCTTTGAGGGGGAACTAACATTCACACAATCAGTTTTTTTCAATTTTTTTCAAACCACTAACAAATCTGACGGCAATAAAACTGTACGTTTGAAGTTCGAATGGAGCAACGCTTCCACCTACCGGAGGACCACAGTGACAGCGGGAGGTCTTCTATGGAATGCCGTTTTAGTCAAAATTAAATAAATGAATAAATACGTAAATACAAGAAATATGCATTTGAAATACATCATGAAATAAATAAATGAGGTAATAAATACATAAATATTAAATACATTTAATTATTTCATGGTACTTTTATTTCATAATGCCACTTTTCATTTCCAGAGTCTTACTGAATGTATATTTATGAACAACGACATTATGTTTCTCACCTACAGAAACTTAAGGACCTGGCAGAGAAACACCCAAACATCCACACCATCACTTTAGGTAAGGCAGCGACAAAAGATGTTTGTTGTTCATAAACAAATATGTGTGCCATGTACATAAAAAAACACCATAATTGGTTTTATTTTATTTGAAAAATGAACATAAACACAACCCTAACTTTAAAATATGGAGCCTGTTTTTTTTTCATGTGAATGAACATTGGAAATGGATGGATTTTTTTGTTTCTTGGTTCAGAAACAAAGTTCTGACGTATACACCCACCAAAATCTAACAACACAACATCTTGTTTGCCTCATGCATGTGAAGCCTCGTCGGCCCTGGGCCATGTTTTAGGCCCCTGCTCAAAAATTCCATACCAACATCTCTTCAACTGTTAGGGTTTCGGAAAGCTCTCGAGGGAGGCCTCACTCCTTTGTTCTCGTCCCGGCCGGAAACGAGGACACGAATGATTCTATCACTAAACATTATTACACGTACTATAATTTCCTGACTAGGGGTGTACTTTTGGCTTAAATCCCTAACACAATCACAACATCTATCTGTATAATCTAGGTGTCAATAAAGGGAAGACTAGTGACATTTGTCCAGATGTGTAAATATACCTATATATGTTACAGGTTTAAAGTAAATGATGATGACACACAGCACAAATTAAAATGTCAGTTTAGCCTGAAATAAAAAGCACTTTCAGAATGATGACCCCTTTTTGCGTTATACCGTTTAAGTTTCAATCCGTTATCAAATCATAGCACAATATGTTAACAATATGTTAACTCTCTGCAAAAGTTCAATTAAAAAAAGGATTTTTTTTCTCCATTTCTTTTATTTAACTTTGGGTGATTTGTCGTGTCAACTTTGTTTCATTCTGTCTATTTGGATGTTGTGAAGCGGTTCTTTTTTGAAACGCTTGTAAAAACTTGAGGCGATCACTTCACTAGTAAAATCTGAAAGAGAAGATGCAATGTCACCGGAAGAACAATTTCTGAATGATGCAAAATGAATTACAAAGGCAATTGTCAAGCCAATGACATTCAAATGCACCAAGGAAGACACACCTCAAGAGTTTTCAAAGGACCAAAGCGAGGAAAGGACTGTTAGAATTTTCCTGCAGCCGCTTTGATAAGTCGCTTTAGACTTGCTCAGAGGATTCTCTATTTCGCGAAAGATTTTACTGTTTTACGCTTTGTATTTCATACGTCACTTCCGCTGCCACTCCTGAGTGGCACCTCAGAACGCGGTCGAGGGACGCAGCACGTCTGATCTATCCTTTGCGGTCCGGCATATCCCGGCATGCAGTGCAGTCCCACGAAGATTTTATTTATTCAGGATGGAGGCGGATGATTGCATGGTTTTGTCAATATAATGATCTGCAGATTATAATTGTCGGGGAAACACTGAGCTTTCCAGCTTTGCAAAGGTCGAGATCTGTGAGACAATTGAACAAAAATCCAGATTAAAGAAGAAGAATGAGCCACTGGATTTAATCACTAGGTATTATAGCACATGTTTATTAAATGTGTCCACTAAAAGACAACATCTTGAGTGCAGATCAATCATTACAATAGTCATAACTTCTTTAAACCTGTAAGATATTTGTACGCTCTTCATTAGGTACACAAAGCCAAAGCCGTATACGCATACATCACTTATTCCATGAATCCTCCTTTTCTAAAAGCTTACAATGTGTTGCTTTTTCTGTTGGATTGAACTGACCGGTGTTTTTCTTTTATTCAGCTATTTAATTAACGCAGAGGAGAAAGATGGAAACGCTCTACATGGTGTAAATATTTCAGAGTGTGTATATATATATATATATATATATATATATATATATATATATATATATATATATATATATATATATATATATATATTTATATATATATACTAGTTGTCTCTGAGTTGGACCTGCTGTCGCCAGAGGGCACTATTGTCCTTCCTCCCCACAGACTACTCTACATGGGGAAATGTGTTTTTACTCTGACTGGAAATGTTCTGGAGTTTCCCCCAAAATCCAAGAGTTGACAATCAAATAATTTCTGTGATGTTTATCCCTAGATTGCATAATGTTGTATACAGATGTAGTAAAACAAAAACAAATGTTTTGACCCTCAGGCCTTCCTGCCTCTGTTGAAACAAGCTGCGTCTAGAGGAGGACCCGGCATGAGCATCCAGAGGCAAGCGGTCATCAACATGGCGGCTCTGCTGGGTTCTGTGGAGCTCAACTGGGGCGACCGGTCCAACAACATCAAGTGGTACCCCTACAGGACGTCCAAGGTATTGCACCAATGGACATCCAGAGTGGCTTGATGCCAATTGATGAACAAAAGTATGTCTGTCAATGCATGTACGACATGTCAACTCTGCTTTGGTATGAACCGAGACAGGAAGCTTGGTCTATTTTAAATGGTTGGATATTTAATTCCTTACCGGCTAAGTAAAAGGGCGTCCAAAGTACTCTTCTGTTTGAACTTTTTCGAAGGACAACTTAGGGTTTTTTTTAAGAATAAATGTGAGATATCAGCTGATCTTTCCACCATCTCCAAAGGATCAACTGTTGTCCAGAACTGTACCGCAGCGGGTTTCAGGTGTGCATTGTTTGTGTTTACTGGCTCAGAGCGCCCTGAACATGGTGAGTCGCTGTAGACCCGGAGCCTGAAGGGATCCTCTGTATGGTCATATATCCTAGCTGGGTTCGCACCGACATGGGGGGTGCTGAGGTAAGAGCCTGACCCGTCCAACTCCATCCGCTGCTTTGTGAGATTTAGTCATACTCATGAGCTGTTGTTGAGAAGAAATGTGTGTGTGTGTGTGTGTGTGTGTGTGTATATGGATCATTGTATTGACATTTCCATGAAGTGTGTCTTGAATAACATTACATGTCTCTTTTCAGGCCTCACTGAGTGCGGAGGAGAGCGTCTCTTCCCTCCTGTCTGTGATTGGAGGACAGACTGAAAAGGATCATGGGTCGTTTCTCAACTTCACTGGGGAGATTTTGCCCTGGTGATTCCTTTTTCATCAGCACGTCCAGCCGATCCTGATGGCTATATATTTTGATTATGATCGTCTAATGAAACAAAGTTGAACGACTCAGAGAAGTGTTTTTTTTTTAATCGTACATATTTTAAAGGGTCCATATGCACACAGAATACTGTTTGACAAGTTCGGCCCTACATTTCCATGAGTGTATCTTCCAGTAAAGGAGGTCAAAATATACACATGTTTATTATTGTTTATTTTGTCCTAAACTGTTCGACTTGTAGTAAGTTGTCCACGTTAAACAGCATTCCTTCTTTTACAATCTAAGTAGATGATGTCGGACAAGGAAGTTTTGTCAAAATGTTTTTCTTCGTCATTCTCGAAGCAGCAAGTTTGGGCTTTACTCATAAGAAGACCTCGGTGTCCCAGCAGGGTCACCCAGCGTATCGTTGTGTTTGTTAAAGATACTTTTCCTTTTTTCCATCGTGCATCTCTTTCAGCATGCAGTCCCGCATAATAAAATGTGACCAGTCTGAGATAATGAGAACAATGAAAGCATAACGGAAGGCAAATGACATTTAACGTCCTTTGCGTGTGCCAGTTGACCGTCTTATCGTTACTTTACAGCACCTGCTGGTTTGGGTACAGGTGCACGAGAAAGCAGAGCGCTCTACTTAGAAAATGAACATATCGAACAAACTTATAGGTTACGTAGGTGAAAAACCAATGCTCTCTGTGTCGTGTATTAAGATGACAGTGGGGGCAGAATTCTGTGTAGACGGGGGCAGTTCTAGTGCTTCTTGGCTGCAGGGGCCCGGCTCGATTGTTGAAGCCATCTGACTGCAACACAGGAATCTTTAAGAGCAACAGAGCTGAAGAAGAGGGCATGCCATTCAGATCTAATCAAACCAGTTTGCCTAGACTGCTGTGCAGAAAGACCTGTGCTCTCTGTCTGAGAGCGAGAGGAGAGAGGCAGTGTGCACACAGCGCCTGCAACAATGAGGTGTCTTACTAACTAATTATTTTGTGTTTGTGAGAGAGCCCTGCATTCACTATGTGGGAAGATTCTTGCATTCCTGAAGGACAAGATGAACTTGTCATTACTTGCTACAGGTAGATGGTTTTTGCGTGTTCATGTTATTTTTGTTTTATTTTTTTTACGTCCGGAGCTCATTTATCTGAATTCTTGTGTGTTCTGCCAACCTCTTTTGTGTTAATGGGAATGCTACTTATAATTTTGTAGGCTTTCTCCTGCAAGGTCCGTGTTGATTTGCATGCAGTGAGAGCAGGATGTGCTATTTGACTGAACCGTTCTCTGATAGCAGATAATCATCTCTTTCTGAACATGACACGGTTGTACCAGTTCTATTTACCTAAAAGAATAATCAGACTATTAACGTATAGCTATTTTTTAGTGTAGATGCCATGGATTTACTTTTAGGTTCAATCCCAATGTCCCCCCCCAAAACGCTGAGCCCTGGACCCACCTGGAAAGTAGTTGACTGTGAGAGTCGGTGAGAGTTTGAAATGGTGTGAATGTGAACGGGTCACTGCAACATGTCACTTTACCATGACGACATAAAGAAATGTACAATCGAGCGTATTTGTTTTGTGCTTTTTAGCTAATTTTTTGCTCATTTGAACGCCGTCCAGCCTCTTAGCTCCTAAGATGAGAGGTCAACAGTATTTAACTTTTTTTTTTCTTTTAAAAAAAATCAAAATGGCTTGAATTAAAAAATGTGATATTTGATGAACAGATGAGTAAACATCACCTGATTTTGTGAGTTTATTTTCTGTCTTTAATCCCTAATGTTTTCAATGTACACATTTTAGTTTTAGTCTGTACACACTATTTTTTTTTTATGTCTCCAATGCTGGTTATCCTGTTTTCAATGCCAGATTGCGATGACTTTGGGTAATTCTCATGGGCAAAGTCAGCATCCAATACTGACTTACAGAAAGGCTCAAAATGTCTGCATGAGAGCGTCAAAACACTCACTTTATAAGGAAATTGATTAGTCCATAAAAAGATTGAATATAGTAAGTCACTGAGTCCAAGTTTACATTTTTGAATAATTTGCCGTTCCCTAGATATTCGTTTTATGGGTATGAAATATCAGGAAAGCTGCATGTCATCACGTCAGAGAAACTTGAAGATTGAGTAAATGTTACAAATTTGTTACAGAAGTCCTGCGTGACTGTTGAGTTTCCCTGTTTTGATCAGCGCTGTGTGCATAGTTGTCATATGCAGCTCTAATGCTGACGTGAAGTCTACTACTACTTTTTGTAGTCGCTACTCTATTCCCAAACTTCCAACATGGCTGCCAACAGACCCATTCTGTGGTCGCAGAGGTCTCTAACCTACATCCGAGTGCCCTCATCCGCCTCTGTCATTTTGCAGAGGCATGTTTTGGCTACATGCAGCTGGAGGGTGAGAAGTAGACCGATGGACTATCCGGCCAACGAGTGACTGCTGTCAACTGCTGGAGACCTGAGAATGCCGTTCTCAGACACCGTCAAGTACTCCATCCTGGGCATCTCGGTCGCTCTTCTTCTGCTGGCGCTGGGCATCTTGGTGTGGCAGGCCTTCAGGTGCTGCACCACAATCACCCGGCAAGATGCTGGTGAGTAGATTGGATTACGGTACATATTGCCGATGGCAGGTATCTGACCAAGAAAGTTTTTACCAAATGCATTTAGGGAGTTCTGGTCTTTCCAAAGCCATCCTCCCTCAGCTTCTTCCCTTTTGTTCCAATGACAGGTTTTTGTCTCATTGATTTTTACTGCAGTAAACACGGCTCAGTCGAAAAGTCAAGAACGAGGAGAAACTACTCAGGAGCTCCATACACTGGGGCAGATGTGTCAAACTCAAGGCCCGCGGGCCAGATGTGGCCCGCCATGTCATTTTATGTGGCCCGCGAGTTTTGAGTAAAAGTTTTGAGTGTCTAAAAATAGATACCCAAAAATAAATTAAGAGCATGCTTTGACCAAAAACTACATTTCCCACAATGCCTTTCGACGCGCGCTAGCCGCGGCAGTGTCCATGCCAACAAGTGGAATTGAGATATAAATAATGATCCCAAAATGTCCAGAAAGAGAAAAGTTGACGCAGACGGAAGACTGTTTCAAGAAAGATGGGAAGGCGAATACTTGTTTGTGCTTCAGGGAGAAAGACCGGTATGTCTTTTGTGTTACGAGGCGGTGTCGGTTGTCAAAGAGTACAATCTGCATCGACATTTTGACACCAAACACGGAGCTAAGTACGCTAAAGCTAGCCTTCAAGAAAAGCAACAAATTGCCCAAGAATTGAAAGGCAAACTGCGGTCGCAGCAGAGTTTGTTTGTGAAATCCACAGTCAAAAACGAGGCTGCGGTGAAAGCTAGCTTCCTTGTGGCTGAAGAAATCGCCCATGCTTCCAAGTCTTTTTCAGAGGGAGCGTTTTTGAAGCAGTGCATGCTGAAGGTCTGTGAGCAGGTGTGTCCCGACCAGTTACAGACTTTTAAAAATGTCAGTTTATCAAGAAACACCATCGCCGGCCGAGTGAAGGAACTAGCAGAAAATCTTACAACACAGCTGGCCGAGGAGACACGCAGCTACACAGCTTTTTCATTAGCTGTTGATGAAAGCCCAGATAACACGGACACAGCGCAGTTATCAATTTTTATTAGAGGCGTAAAGTCGGACCTCTCTATCACTGAGGAGCTGTTGGATGTGGCTGCAATGCATGGGACCACGACAGGACAGGACATTTTTGATGCGGTGGAGAAGTCCGTAAGTAAAAATGCATTGCAGTGGGAAAACTTGGTAGGATTAACTACAGACGGTGCACCGGCAATGTGTGGAGGAAAAGTGGGCTTGGATGGACTAATGAAGGGGAAAATGCAAAAAATGAACTGTCACACGCCTCTGATAACGTATCTTTGCTTTATCCATCAAGAAGCTTTGTGGGGGAAGGTGCTGGGGATGGAGGACATTGTGACCACAGTCGTGAAAACAGTGAACTTCATTCGGGCGTGTGGCCTGAATCACCGTCAGTTCCAGCCGTTTTTGCTGGAGATGGGCTCGGAACACGGGGATGTGCTGTACCATACAGAAGTGCGGTGGCTGAGTAGGAGAAAAGTCCTCAAGCGATATTTTGAGCTCAAGGAAGACATTGCTCTTTTTATGCAGAGTAAAGGAAAACTCATGTCTGAACTATCAGATCCAAAGTGGATGTGTGACTTTGCTGTGTTGTGTGACATAACCGACCATCTCGCCCAGCTGAATCAGAAGCTGCAGGGACGCAAACAAGTCATCACGCAGATGTCCGACACAATCACGGCTTTCCAGCGTAAATTGGACTTATGGATGTGGCAAGTGAAACAGGACAATCTTGTCCACTTTCCTGTTTGTCAGAGCATGTCAGCCTCATTTCCCGAGACTTTTTCATGTGCTCAGTTGGCTACCGAACTGAGCTGGTTAAAGACTGAGTTTGATCGGCGCTTCTCTGACTTCAGAGCACAACAGTCTGGCTTTGACATCTTTTCCAATCCTTTCACCACCGATGTCTGCACTGCACCCCAACACCTTCAGATGGAGCTAATTGAGCTTCAAAGCGACAGTGGCCTGAGAGCAAAGTTCCAGGATGCTGCAATCCGGGACTTTTACCGTCTGCTGCCCCCTGGTTGATGCCACAGCTTCGACTTCATGCTGCCCGTGTTCTGTCCATGTTTGGGAGCACCTATCTCTGCGAACAGTTTTTTCCATAATGAATCTGAACAAAAACAAGCACAGATCACGCCTCACCGATGACAACCTCCATGCTGTTCTACGCATTGCCTCAGCACAGGACCTAAAACCAGACATTGACACACAGGCAACGGGAAAACGGTGTCAGACATCTGGTCAGAAAACACACAGGTAAGCATTTTTAAAAAAACTATTAAATTAAAATATAATAAAATGTAATTCGACCAAGAAGAAGAACAGTTCAACTGTGTGCAATTTAATGATTGTGCTTGCATTTTGTTCATTTTCAGAACATGATCAATCGATAGTAGAGAGAGAATCCACTTGGTGTGTTCAAGGACAGGCAGCATCTCCTCATCAAAGACT